TATTCACACGTTGCTTATCTTACAGATAAGAGGTTCACTCCTGTGCAGCCAGGACATCAGGTAAGCACCTGTGCCTTATACAGCTTGGTGCATAGTTGACACTGTTTTTCTGCTGATTGCAACTCATAAAATAGGTGATCACTTTTCTCTCTTTCTAATATCACAGCCCTCACACAGGTAATTTGCTCAACTACTATTCAAGTTATTCGTAGTTAGGTTTAAATAAGTTGTGAGTGGACTAAAGTCTGTGTACTTCAAGGCCCTCTCCGTCACCTCCGCCCACATCCTTGGACTTAGAGAAGGACTTGCCTGCATTGACTCTACGTGATCCCTGCAAGAGAGAGTGAGTACACTTCTCCTTCCACTCTGGAAGCATGCAGACAGACCATCACTTGTTCCAGTGAATGTCTGCCCTGTTGTTTTACATTTCTGTAGTTAATCTTGACCCTATGTAACTCTTTCCTCTGTGGTGGGAAGTGGAAGGAGGTCCTGAGTTTGCAGTTTGTACAGTGTAGCAGTGGCGCCATCTGCTGGTTATAAAGAATTGTGATGTTATGTATAAATGACACCTTTTTTTTTTTTTCAGTGGGCAGAGTGCAACTAAAAGAGTAAGTAGTCAAACATGCAGCATGGTTTCAATAATAGAAATATGTCAGACTTTCCCTCTGATTTCTGTGCTTCTATTCTATTTCATTCATTTTTTATGATAGTGTCCACTCATGTAACCATGCAATGATGTAGTTATGTACTGTTATTTCTTTAAAATCAATAATCAATCAGTGCTTTCAGCCATGCTATTTTCATTTTAATTTGAAAAGGTATTTTTCAGTCTATTGTCTTCCTAACTATGTTACACACTTTTATATCCAATTGTCTTTTTAATTCTTCTAATAGGCAGAATTCAGTCAATTAAAAAAAGGTAAGAGATAACTGTAAATGTAACATTTTGGTTAAAAACGCCTTGACATTTGTGATGAAGTTAACTTAATGAATGTGAATGTGTTTCAGCCCTCCACACCAATCAAAGGCATTCTTTGGATTTGGAGACTCATGATATAGAAAAAAGGTGCAGCTTTCATTTCTCAGGCTTTTCAGGACAATTATGTCACGTTATGTCATGCTTGATTTACATTTTCCCTTTCTTCCTTTATTTAGGTCACAGCAAAATCTGGGTAAGTAGAGTTATAGGTCATCAGCATCATCATACAGCTATTGATAAAATAAGTCAGCATTCATTTCTACTTAAAGAAAGGGTGCCATCAAAACGCCATCACCATGAGTGGCCTCAAACAAAAGAAGACTTTGACCAACATGACTTTGTTCCAATGGAAAAGCCTCAACAGGTATACTTGCTTGAGATAAGGTTTCTACTTGATAAGGTTACAACTAGTCTATAGATCATTGTTTACTGAGCTCTATGATGTTTGGCAGACATACTGCGAAGAAGACTGGTATGTTGGGGCTTGTAGTCGAGCAGATGCGGAGCACGCCTTACACCTGGTGAACAAGGTATTGTATCTCTTCTAATGGGAAATCAATCAAAAGATTATCCAAATGTGTCTGAAGCTAAACTTCTTTTGTTACTCACATCAACCACATTAGGATGGGGCATTTTTGGTACGAGACTGCTCCACCAACAGCAACAGTGAACCCTTGGTACTGGCTGTGTATCATGAGAAGAAGGTTTACAATGTAAAAATTCGGTTCATCGAGAGCACCAGCAAGTATGCCCTGGGAACAGGACAGCGATCAAATGACGTGAGTGGACAAATTCAAAAAGTTTATTCGTCAAGCACTCCCATCACCATTATATTTACTGTAGCTCACATCTTATTTTTCCCTCAGATGTTTGACACTGTAGCAGACATCATCAAGTTCCACTCCATATTCCCAATAGTACTCATCAGTGGGAGAAATATGCCCGGAAGCAGGTATCCAGAAAACTGTGTGCTGACATGTCCAGTAACAAGGAGGGATGTGGACCTGCTGCTGCAATAACATATGCACCATTTCAGGAAAGATACTGTCCCTGTATGTCATTATGACACCCAAAACATCCACCAAAGTTAACTGTGTCCATGTTAGGAAAAAGCTGACTGTGTGTGTATACAAATTGTGAACTGTGTCAATAAAGAAATCTATCATATCAACAAATGATTATTTTTATTATCAAGATTATGAAACACTAGTAAATAATGAAAAATGCCCATTGCAATTTCCTAGAGCCCAAGGTGATGACTTCATGTTGCATTTTTTTTAATGTATCAAAAGTCTGAAATATAAAGGTAATCACTATACAATACACAAAACAGAGAGAAGCCACAAACTCACATAGAAGCTGGATACAGAGGATATTCATTGCTTGATAACTATTGATCGGTGACCAAAATAGCAGGCATGAATTGACTGGTAATTTCACCTTTATTTTTTAATCAGCACTCTAAGCATGTCAAAACTGTGATATCAAAATTAAAAAATAGATCAAAATTATGATTCAATAATTAAACATTATTACATAGTAAGTCATCAGTGGTGGATAAAGTACTCAGATATTTTAGGTAAAAGTTGCAACACAGTGAAAATATACTCAAGTAAAGGTACCGCATTCAATATATTCTGCAACAAAATGTACTTAAAGTAGCTAAAGAAAAGGTGCTCATTATGCAGACTAGCCAATTTCAGAATCATATTCTCACTGGCTTATAATTAGCAAGGCATTAATGTGTTCAGAGATCATTTTAATTCCTTTATATACTGCTGTGTAGGTTAATTATATATCATCACTTGTTAGTCGATTTAAATTGTGTAATAATCTAAATATAAAAAGCACAGTCGTGAGTTAAATGGCTAGGTAAATGAGTAAATGGCTCGGTACTGTCTGAGGAGATGGAGGGCAGCAGCATAGCTCGGCAGGCAGAGCTGAGGTCTCTAGTCACTAGGTTCATTGTCAAACCCCGGCTCCCCCAGCCAAACCATTAGCTATATATAGGTTATTAATTAGGTGGCTGAGTAAAGGGGTAAGTAATGGAGTAAATGCCTAGGTAATTGACTAAAGCTCAGCATAGCACAGTAGGGAGAGCTGAGGTCTCAAAGTCAGATAGTTCAGAGTTAAAGGAAATAGGTAATTAGGTACATTTCTGTAAAACTGTATAAAATTGTCTCACTTTGAACTTGGTTAACTCTTGTTTGTTGTTGTTGGTTTCATACGTAAAATATCTACCAACAGAGCTAAATCTAAATAAAGGAAATTAAGTACCCTAAATGCAACCCTGTGTTTCAGTTTTAACAACTAGGACTTGGTGATGGATGGTACTGTGATGTCCTTTGATCACCTTAAAGCGAAGTACTTTTTAAGATATTTGCAAATGCCCACTGTTATCTCCTCTGCTATGAAGTTACACCCCAGGGGGTTTCCTCTTTCGGCAGTAAAGAAGGCTATTCATAATCTATTTTAAAAAACAGGAAACTTATCACCAGGATTTATAGGGCCCCATCAAACCCAGACAACAAATACACTGCTCATGTCAGTCTCTTTGGGAGGTTTATTTTGGATGGTCTGTGTTTAGTCAAGCTCTTCAGGTTGCTTACCGGTATTTACGGTATTTAAGAGCTAAAGAGCTGCAGTCTAAAGCCATACATAAGCTTCAAATTACTCTGGTGAAACTTAATATGTTTAATCCTTTGCTTTGAAAATAATGTAATAAGGGTAAAACTACTGAAGCTTCATGTTTTCACTGTATTTTGAATGCCCTCTTATTAATGACCTCTGGGTCAAAGAGTGTAATCTATATTATATTTAGGGGAAACCTAGCCTTTAAACATATTGTTTGCTTTCTTGGAATACAGTCAGCAGCATTGAACATTAGCCCCTCTACACTGAAGCTGCTAAAGGTGCTTGTTCTTAGTGCAAGGAGAATGGAGGTGTTGTTCTTGGATGGATTTCAGACACTGTCCCTACAGTTTCACAATGGATTCGGAGGGCTATGGAACTTATACCTTATACCTGGTCCAGGCCCAGGCTCTTTGGATTGGTCTCTAGACTAGCATAGACTAAGATCTTGAGCTACTTTTACACAGGTTTAATATCAAATATACCATTATCCCTTTATTAGGTCTGATTACCTTTGTTTTATCAAATCATATGAGCATTCTGTCTTGGTATTATTTTCTTTGTTTGTTTTGTTGTTATTATTTATTCATTTTATGTCATTTTTTAGTCATATACTGTTTTTTCCCCTTTTATGTAAGTTGTGCACTGGGGGCTTGTTGGAAAAATGGTATGTTTTTTATTATGTCCTTTCATTAAGTATATAACCCTTTGGAAATCAATAAATATAAAAAAAGTTAAACAATTACTATACATTTCAATTCTGCAAGTCTGTCTCTTTGTTTTTGTCCTTTCTTCACGTGAGCTGTGTGCTGAGAACTTCCAGGCCACATCCTGGAATGTGGAGAGTACTGACTTCTGTCCGCAGTAAATTTGACCACTTGTCACTGACTTTCCATTAGTGCCGTCATTACCCAGAGGTCAAGTGAGGAAGAGGTTTAGGAGATTATATACTACTATAGTACTCTGTGGTAGATGCAAAATTCTTCATCATCAGCATTCATCACACTACAACTGTGAAAGCTAAATCTCATCCCTAAATCTGCTGATTCAGTGCTAAGAGTCTGTGGGAGACAACACGCCTCCCTTTCTAAAAGTTCTAAGCTTTCTAGGATGCTGACAGGCTATTCAATAGTGGTTTTATCCCTCCACAGGTTTTGCTGTGGAGATTCTGTCCAAGGCCAAACTGAGTGTGACAACAAGGCTGTACCTATGTAAACCATGTGTAACCAAATAAATTCATTTTTAAATTGGTATTTAATTTTATATTAAGCAGAATTAGAGGCAGTTGCAGAAGTAAATTAGGGTCATCCTGTAATGTGTGATGTTATTATGATCATAAACACTTTATGTGATGCAAGTCTGTTGAACAAAAGGGAATGGGTCATTTAGGTTGTGATCATGTTTACTTTGTTTTAATAGAAAAGAGGGGTTACACAATTGTTATTATAAAAGCATGGAACACAATGATGACCACTGAGAATGGAGAGAACCAAAAATAGTTTTAACAGTAACATGACTAACTGACACACAAATGAGTGAATGAAGGGCAAAGCAAAATACTCATAAAGAACTGTCACACCTTTAAAATAATTATAGATAACAAAGACTGCACGGCAGCTTGACACACTGCAGCGTTGAGAAAGTAAAGCACAACATATCTGCTGCTGCAGAAGAGGCTGAGGAATGTTAACCATTCCCTACTGAGTATGAACACCAGTCATCACGTTTTATATATATTTATATATATATATAAGTATATACACAATAAAATCTGTGGGTGATCAAAACATATATATACAATAAAAACGGTGGGTAACCAAAACCTATAAATTTCATCATAGGTCTAGCACCTCATACATCATGATAACATTATAAACAAGAACACACAGGTGTTGTAATGCTGTCGTAAGAAGAGAACACAGATTTGAAAAGTATTTGGATAAAAGATTGCTTATGTCCTTTTGATGGGTTTTGAAAAATATACAAGTTTCAACAGGTTTACAATGGCCCCCCAATCACCACAGAGTATGTACATGGCGGTGACATAAGAAAAAAATTAAAGTACGTGGCTTTCTGTTACAGTAATAAACTAGTTTAGGCTGCTTTTATCCATCTCATTCTCCACCACTGTTTAAGGAGCTCCACCATCTTCTGTAAAGAGGCTATCATGGACGTTGTGACATTAAAGAAACCAAACTGTAAAGCATAGTGCAACAATGATTCAAGATGATTTTTGAACACTTGTTTCTGGAACTAATAAGTCAATCACAAAATATATGTGATTAATTAAATATTTAAATTCAATGAAAACAAAACACCTGTGTGGTAAAAATATTGAAATCCATACAGCAATCATCAGAACAATTAAATAAAAAGGCATTCTTTAAGTCTTTACTTTTGCCCTTTGAGCTTTCTCGTACAGTTTCAAACAGAAAGCAATAATTAATCAATGTACCTTCCTTATCCATCTGTACTCAGGGCTATTAGGAATAGTCAACATTTTAGCTTTTAGCTTTAGCCTTACAAAAACCAAAACTAACGGTGCATTCAGGCACTCCTCGTCAGCTGGTAAAGTCAAACACATTCAAGTTCATCACCGAGAATGGCCAGCAAAGTGGTCAATACTGGTGGGAAACTGGGTCACATTCCATAATACCCAAGTTTACAGATTATTTCACTTCACAACACATCAAGGACAATTGGCAAATAAAACTTCTATTTCTCTGCAAGACCCAGTGATAAGCAACACATCCAACCAGATAACAAAAACAAACTGTGGTGTGTATGCCTACCTTCCACTATTTACACCTGGCAGGGATTTTGTCATTGCTCCAGTTTATCCGACCGGTTTACCAGTGACTGATGACCATCTGGTACAATTTTTTGCAAAGAGTACCTGAATGCACCACGACACTACTGAGACGCCATACATATTTAAAAAAAAAGGATACTGAGCTGCACATATGACGCTGGCTTTGATCTCTAACAAAAATCACATTTCTCTGGCCAATATTTGGAGTGGCTTTTGAATTGGGACATGCCTTTTTTTGACCAGTTATAAGCTTATCAGTGTTAAAATGTTGACTTTTTGGGTGCAGTTTTAGTGTCTATACAAGCAGCCTTCATCATAAACAGAAGAAGAAAAGAGGGGCACTGTTGAAGCAAAACATTTTAGAGGCTTGTAGGCGCTTTGTGCCCATATATGCTGATGTGAAATTGACCAATTTGAAAAACATTCTGTTAATCTGAACATTAACAAAATAAAATGGGGATTACTCCTTGAATAGGCCATTTTTACATTGTTTTTGTGATACATACTGCATGTTAGGTTCAACCCATGAACCCAAGAAATTACATCTCACATATAGATCATCACAATTACTTAACACCCAGCACAGATTTTCCTGTCATTAAAAATTGAGAGGTGTGCATGTTCTGCATCTTCATGGCAGTGGTTCTGGTCTGAGTGGGTTAGCGCACACACAGATTTGATCATCTCAGGAGGTACTGCGCCTAATTCGGGTTGTATCTTGGAGGAGCCAGACGAATAGTGAACTGATGCAAACAGAAAGGAAATACAGTATGTTATCCTCTTTAAGTAAACAGCATGCATTTATCCCTTAACTCTGACCGTCTGAAACAGTACCTGACATCTGTGTATTAGTGACTGCGATCTGCTACAGCAGGAGGTCCATCGTCTATCAAAGCAGCCAAACTGCATTGCACTTGAATACTCCATGCCTATATAAACAACATTAGTACAACATAATGCTCAGTGATTCTAATATGTCCATTTTTTCTAACCTTAAGCTCCCATAAAGAAAAAATAAGTGCCCGGTATTATTATTTTTAAGCCAACATCTTCCCATTGTAATACTAGGTATTTCCTCAGAAATGTACACTGCTGTCCGCTGATACACTGATAGATTCATGGAAAGACTCCGACAGTGCAACCCATCACCTCGTACTTCTGCCCCATCACTTTGCTCAGCCTCATTTTCAAGATTTGGCACTTTGGAACCACCTCAGAGGCTCCGGTGTCAGCTAAAGTGTCTGCTCTCGCTCCTTGTATGGAGGCCCGGGGCTTCGGGTGATTGAGCACCACCACGGGCTGGTTCGGGCCCGGCCGTTTCACCAGTTGGTCCACCTTCAGCGGCATCGGGTGAATAACTGTGCAATCAGTTAGACCGTCCATAGGCACCTGAGTCTTGTATTTGGAAATTCTAAGTTTCAGTCCCTTCTTGTTTTTTTTCCACACGCCTACTTGTACCCTTTTCAGAGAGACAGTCAGGAACTTTGAGGAGATGTCATGGTCACTTTTTTCCATTTGCTGTAGGGGGTCTGCAGTCCCAGATCCATCTACATGTGCTGCAGTTTCAGAAACAGCTTCCTTATCTGTTGACAATTTCGATTCGGGAGCCTGACTGCATTGATTGTTGTTTGTTGGCGCAGTGTTATTTTTTTCCTCCTTGACGTGGGTATGGTTGTTGGTCAGTGCAGGAGGGTTCTGGATACCCCTGTGTTGCTCCTCTACTTTTACAGACTCACTGGTCCGCCCTGCCAGTAAAAGGTCACGGATGAAGGATCCATCCTTTGTGGCCACCTGAGCACAGTGCCCCGACGGTGCCGCCTCCTTCATCCGCTGTGTGCTGCCCGGTATCTTAACGTGATCTCGCATCGTACTACCGGAACTGTTGCTTTTATCCATTACGATGCCGCGCAGAGCCATCACCAGTGGTTGAATGGAGCCTTGCACGTCCTCCGGTTGTTGACATAATGAAAACACAGACGAGATGACTGGAAAGCCCTCCGGTTCTGGCGGGTCTGGATCGGTTCTCTCGTTGGATCTGCTTTCCTGGTTCCATGCAGAGATCTTTGAATTTGTGCGATTAGAAAGGACGGGCATTTTGAACGATGTGAGCTCATTTAGAGTCCTGGGTACTGAAAAAGATGCACTTACAACATTATCCTTACAAACTAAAATCGCTGGAGGTCTTACTTGGGCCGCTGCAGCTGAGGGAACGCTCAGGGAAGGGGAAGCTGATTTTAAACTTTGCTGGTTCTTTATTTTTGAAGCAGCGTTGTTCTTGAAGTTGATCTCCCTGGGCTCTAGCTTAACAGCCACAGACCCATCTCGGGGAATGCTTTTTATGTCACTTGCCCTCCTGGGTGGGATACTCTTGGAATGCTCTGGAATTAAATTCTTTCTCTCATCCACTGCTCTCTGAGAAACACATGCTCCCATGTTGTCTGGATGCAGGGTGCTAGTCAGCCTGTTGGCAACCCTGGTGGAGGTAATAGCAGGCGGAGCAGCATTGTGGTTCACAGGTTCTCTCTGTGTGACTTTGATCCCACTATTTCCTTCTCTTGCAGGATTGAGGGTGCTTTTGGGAACCTTGTTTGGTATGGGTGTGTGACATTCCAGGTTGATTATTTCTTGTGATGTTCTTTTTAACACACTTTTGTCTTTGTTGATTTGAGGGGGGAGGTTTTTGGAAATATTGACTGGAACGACAGCAGGACGATCCACATTCACAGTCTTTGTTTCATACTGTTTCCTGTTAACCGTGCACATCCCCAAACTTGTAGACTTCACCGTATTTGGATGATTTAACGTGGAGGAAAGTGGCTTTCCCAGCGCCGTGTTTTGAGAGACTGAGGTCCTTGTGTCTTTTATCACAGACTCGTTTTCTTGTTGAGAGACGAGCCTCAGCTTTAGCTCCTTCGTCCCGTTGACAGTTTTCACCTCAACAAGTTCAACCAAACAGCCAGCAGGAATGGTTACCTCCTCTGGAAGTGAGACCGTTAAAGCCCTGTTGTGCTGAATGAGTCCATTCAAAGGGGACAAAAGTTCTGCGTTACCGTTAGGGGCGTTTGATACATTTGTGTCCAGTGTTTTCCCCCTCTGTTCATCTTTACCCAGCCTGAATGCAGATACACTCGGGGTGGGCACTGTCACCCGAACGAGTGGTCGAATTGACGAAGTGTCAGCAGTGGGAACACTTGGTAAGGCACTGGAGACAGGAACGTGTGAATTTTTTGTCGTGCCAGGCTTGGCAGGTCCAAAACTAATGCCTTTACTATGCAAACGGTCAATGTGCTTCACAAGGCACAGCCTCCTCATGTAGCCCTGTCCACAGTGAGGACATTTGAATGGATACTTTGCAGTGTGTTGCTTCAGGTGAGCGTTTAACTCTGCCTCACTGAATGAGACATTGTTGCAATAGAAACAGTAAAACCGTGTCCCCATATGCTCGACCATATGCTTCTTGAACGCGGCGGCGTCTGTAGAACCGAAGCCACATTTCTCACAATACATCACATTTGAGGTGCCTAACACACGATCCAAAGCCGGATGTCCACCATTCATGGACGATGGCATGCTTTGATAGCTGACAGGCTTCATGTTGAGCGCTGAGGTCCACTGGTCATCTGGCAGCAGGTCCCACAAGTTTAACAGGCTGCAATTAAACAGTGGAGTAGGCATCCATCTTCACCTGACGTCCAGAGCTCAGTCCTCAGAGGAGGGAGGGCTGATGCAACCGTGAACTCACAAATGAGATGTCTCCCACCCTGTGAAAAGCAAACGGGGACAAACGCTTTAACAGTTGTGTCTGTGGATGAACCTTACAGTGTACACTGCTGACATTCAGACAAGGCCCATAAAGCCCCTCCCCCTCCTCACACTGAGCTCATGCAGTATTTTCTCCGCCTGCAGCACTTTGTCTTACACATCACCGGCTGCAGGCAAACCAAAACACACACAGCGGAGAAAAAAATGTACGTAGTCGTCTCCATTGCCTTTTTATTTTTATTTTTTCCTACTGCTTGCCCGGGCTGTCTACCTCTGAACACAACAGAAAGGCCCTACCTGACCACAACAAGAGGTTCGCACAGACGACGTCCCGTTTTCCCACTGTTTATGTTCAGGAAAGAGTCTCATCACACACACACGTACCTTATAGGAGTGTTGTTTAGCAGCGTTTTGGTCTCGTATATGTTTTTAAGTGAATAAATCCTTTCTGTGGACGTGATACTAGCGCTTGTCAACGCGGCCAACCGAGCCGCTTTGATTTAGCCTGTCGCTAGCCATCTATAGCTAGCTGCAACTATTCCGGAAAAGGGTTGCTCCTGCCTTCAAAATAATAGCGCAGAGTAGAGATAATAACGCTCTTACACGTTAGTTGTTCGGATTTATTCGATAATAACCACCTCTCTGATATACTGGCTTTAGTTTGGGCATCTTTTATGCTGCTAAACCATTTTTTGGTGCATGTTGTTATGGGAGTAAACATTATTTTGAAGGTTGTGACCGGAACTTTAAGTTTTTATTTTGTTTTTCTTGACAGCTGAGGAGCTGGGTGCAGCGTAGGCGCTATTCTTGAACGAGCACCACGCAAACCTCCTATATGTGCTCTCATTACTTACGCTAGGTTGTAAATGTGCTACAAAAAGTACGTAATGCTTTGATTGGGCATCTACGTTATTCACGCCCACAAATATGACAACTTCCCACCACCACAACATTACATTTAAACTCCTCGGTGCAGTTTTAACACAAATCGCCACATTTGTACCATTTGAGACCTGTTGTTTTACACACAGACAGGGAGTCGTTTCATCGCACCGGCCGGTGTTGTTGAGCCTCTATTACAGTGAGTTCACCCGGTGACACAGGAAGTGGTTTAGAGCTTTTGTATTTCATGTGATAATGAACCACAGGCCGTCCCCAGCTGAGAGATAAACAACGGCACGCTGTGGCTGCAGCTGATTAAAATGCCCTAAAACGAATCAAACATGCTGTTGAGAAGAATCTGCAGACTGATTCCTGCTGTCTCTGTGTCACTGGTGTTGCCAAGGTGAGTGCTACAGTGTAATATGACCAACACCGGGCTAAACATAAGCTTATTAACTGTTTCAAACTTTTGTAAAGACGCTCTCTTGATTGCAATGTGTATACTTTTTAATCTCGACGCCTCACAGCTCAGTTTTATATTTCATCTTAACGCTTGTTGCAAAATTAGCTCTAATTTACACCTGAACTTGTAACCCTCATGCTGTAGCTCATGTGCGGATCACCATGACTATTGTGAAAACACTTTCTGGGATTTACACACCATTGTTGCAATTCATAATGACACAGCAGTGGCTTTCACTTGACCCTCCCATTCCCCGCTTGTCCGACGCATACGCCTGCGAGCTTCCTGGTTATGGCAATATTAATCCAGCTAACCCGGACGCAAGCTGCCTGCTGGTTTATCCACAGAAAACAACTTTTCTCGTCTTTTCGCAGACACGCACTCATCCGCCGCAGCATGGCCTCAGACACCACCCGGTTCGACTTTCTGGTGATCGGCGGCGGGTCTGGAGGTCTGGCCGGCGCTCGGAGGGCGTCGGAGCTCGGAGCGACCACCGCCGTGATCGAGAGTCACAAACTCGGAGGTACCTGCGTGAGTAAAAATTAAATAACCCCCCCCCCACACACACACACACACACAGACACAGACACACTGTTCCCGACTACAGTCTCTGCTGCAGCTTTCACACATATATGTCGGTTGCCAGGTTCACTGCGAAGCCTCCGGACTCCTTTTGTGGAAGTTTTTTGTGTAATTACAACAAACATTGTTGGAAGTTGAGAGCGTCCCAGCCGATAAGCACCCCCCCTCCCCTCCTGTAGCCCTGACACACTGGAGCTAACATCCACTGTGCAACATAGTGGACAGTCTTAACATCTAATGTGAAATACAAATATACACAGGCTGCTAGAGCACAGGGGCTTCAATATGAGGAAGAGGCTTCATGTAGTTATAGTTTGTTACTGTAAGGCTGTTGTATTGGGAATCAGTATATATTATAGGCAGTGTTGGGCAGTAACTCATTTCTAGTAATAATATTACAGTAATAGTATAACTTCTCCCAGTAACTAGAAGTGTAACTAATTACTAATACATTTCAGTAATGATATTACAGTTACTCCTCAATATTAATTTTGTTGTCACCTTCTGCTGATCTTATGTCCAACCATCCAATCACATCCTTGGATTCATTTTTGTAATGGTGGAGGAAATTAGTTTGGTAGATGGAACCATTCAACAACTGGAAATATTCCATTACTTTGATTTTAACAAACAGAACTGGATTTTAATCGTCGTAAGTCTGGATTTTGGGGAGAAGGGGGCACAATTGTATTACCAATTTTCTGGCCAGTAGCAGAAAAGCAATATAACTAGTAGTGTAACTAATTACTGTTAGCAGGGAGAAATAAGTAAAGTAATATACTTTTTTAAAAGAGTAATGAGTAATGTAATAAAGTGCTCATATTAGTAGGGTTTACCCACTATATTGACTTTTCAGTTGTTCTAGCAGAAGGAAACTTAAACCACATGCTGATTGCAGAAAGAGGCAGTTTGTATGATTCATTTCCCAAAGTTGGTAGTAAATTAGGAAATAAGATCATATTTCAAATAATAAAGTTAAATCAAGCAAACTCGATGTATGCACCTTTTGCAGAACAGGTTATTACACTGCGCAAATAAAGACCTCTGCAGTCTAAAACCTTTTCTTTTCAACTTGTGCTTGGATGATATTTGATCAAGCTTACGTTTAACTAATTTGCTCTGTAATTGTGTTTTTCAGGTCAATGTTGGCTGTGTCCCTAAGAAGGTAAACATTTCTCTCCATTCTCGCTGTGATGGGTTGAGTTTTAAGTCTGAGAGTTAATGATTTGTTAATATGTGTCCAAATTCAGTAGATGTCAAATCCGGTACCTTTAACTTCCTTCACAGGTTATGTGGAATGCTGCAGTTCATGCTGAGTATCTCCATGATCACAATGATTACGGATTTGATGTTGGAAATGTCCGTTTCAGTTGGGAGTAAGTTTCACTACCCGTCGCTGTCTTTTTTCAGTTTTTTCATGCAACCACAATGAGCTCTGTTGAAACCTGTTTGGCTTGTTCCTGGAACAAATTCATGTCCATTTTACACCACAGCTTCTCAACCTATTGTGTCTTCTGTTGCTTCACTTTAGCCCACTTCTCTATCTTTGGTCACAGCATAGTTTAGTCAAGGTTATGGGTAATGATAAGCCTGTTGAAGGAGTGGCTCAGTCAGGGATGAAAGACCATAACGTAGGACAGGTCTGGGCAGTTATTTCAGGTTTGTCTGTATGGATTTATGTAAAAGCCTGTCCAGCTATCTACATATTTCCATATTTCATTTATTTTTATTGAAACAGTACATTGGAAAAATTATAACCTATATAAAGATAGACAGGAGGTTGAAACAGTATAATTGAACATGTAAAATCTGATTCAATGTAACAACATTGTAGTTTGTGCTGTTGTGTTGGGCTGCATTATGTTACATCAGGCTTATTAACAACTGATGATCATCAAATATTTTCATACTGCTCAAAGCACAATGGGATATGTTTGTAGTGTCTCCCAGCTCTAATATATGCATGTGCTATTAGTGGGATGCTCTTAGTGTGTACTTGTTTATCCATAGATATGATGATAGTATTATATAATAACACAAGTGTGTATTATAATGCAGAGTGTTGTTGCAGGAAATGTTCAGGCTGCCGACAGACCTGAGGGCAGATGGTTGTGAGTTTGAAACCTTTTGTAAGGCGGGACATTCTGGTTAGGGGTGCAGCAGTTTGTACACCTTTAATGTCAAACTTTCATCTGATCTCAGAAGTTATGTTAGGGTGACTCTGTGTTTTGTTTAGTTTTTTTTCTTTCATTTTCAATTTTGATTCTCCATGAGGAAATGTGTGTAAAAAAAACAAACTCCTCATCTTTGATCATATCATGTGTTTGCAGAACTCTCAAGGCCAAAAGGGATACTTACGTTAGTCACCTAAACCGCATTTATCGCAGCAATCTTGACAAAGTAAGTTCACATTCCTATTTATTTTTTCAGCGTGTCTCTTGTTATTCCTGATAAACATGTGTACGTCTACATGAAGTTAACGTAATGTCTGTAAAACCTTTTCTAATCATCTTCAGAAGAATTATTAGACTTGTTTAGTCCGTCTATATTACCTTTTGAAAAAAAAAAGACCATAAGTTATTTGAAGAAAAATAATGACATCTGCTTCTTTTCAGGCTAAAATCCAAACTATTCAAGGTCATGCCAGGTTTACAAATGATCCTGAACCTACTGTGGAGGTCAATGGAAGGAAGTATACGGCGCCTCACATCCTCATCGCCACTGGAGGGCAGCCTTCTGTTCTGAGTGAGACTGAAGTTCCAGGTAAGACCGGCTGTACTTAGGTGGTACATGGAAATGGTAATCATCTTTATCTTTAGCACTGTTGTTGTTTCTTTACTTTTACAAAATGACTAAATTGTGCAAAATATTGTGTTTATTGATCATTTCAGGCGCGAGTCTGGGCATTACCAGCGATGGCTTTTTTGAACTTGAAACTCTGCCAAAGTAAGCTTGTCATATAATCTTTTTAGCGTTTACACAATGTTTAAAAGTTCATCCCTATACTTAAAAGTTTTCCCAACAGGCGCAGCGTGATTGTGGGTGCAGGTTATATTGCAGTGGAGATGGCAGGCATCCTTTCCACCCTTGGGTCCAAAACATCCCTCATTATTCGACAGACTGGAGTGAGAATAACAACATAAATACTAAATCATGATTGTCAAAATTGTGCAGACAAGCAGTTAATTTATAAATCCCCATCTACTGTCATATGTTCTCTGTAGGTTTTGAGGAACTTTGATGCCTTCATAAGCACAAACTGCACCAAAGAACTGCAGAACTCTGGTATAGACCTGTGGAAGAATACTCAGGTGAAGTCTGTGTGTAAAACGGACAGAGGACTGGAGGTGACACTCGTCACCAAAGACCCAGAGAAGAAGAATGATGAAGAGAAGATCAGAACCATCCAGGAGGTGGACTGTCTCCTGTGGGCCATCGGCAGGCAGCCTAACACCTCCGGACTGAACATCGGCGAGATGGTAACAGTCCGCTGTGCTCATGAAAGCTTTTCTTATGATCTTTACTGTTTGCAGGATGCTGAAGTGAAATAGGCAGCTGTTTCTCTCTTTTTATTGATTTTGCAGCTGGAGAGAGTGCCAAACACATGCAACATCCATCAGTAAAATAGTAACAGTGCATTTAAGACCAATGACTACAGCTTATCACCACTGTCTGTCTGCAAAGGGAATTAATTAGTGTTTGGCTCTGTTCACTGTCCCGTGTCACCCTCATCCTGGCTCCTCCTCGTAGATTACAGCAGCACCACAGACAATTTGAAAGTTTTTTTCCTTTATTTCACACGATTCATTCAGATCGAATGTAGTTTTGTGAAAGAACTAAATCCATTAACGTGCTATTGGACAAAGGATTCATAATGGAAGTTTTATGTAAAAAAAAAAAAAAAAAGAGTCTAAAATAAAAC